ATCTGAAACCCAAGTTTAACTGGGCCTCCTGTATTTTCCTGGCAACCCCGATCTTGCAGGATAGCTCGAGTTTGCAAAACAGCTGAGACCCCTGAAGCCAAGTACAACCAAGAAGCAAAAAACACCATTTACTATCAAAGAGAGAAGCAGCCAATGGACCACTCTGGAGCAGAGAAATCACCACCCCTGAGCTGCGGGGGCTGCCTCTGGGGGAATCCTACAGCTGGGAAAGGGGCCCAAGCCCCTGCCTGCTTTTCAACAACCTGTGTACAACTTCTTGGGAAGTACACAACCTTCTTCCCTTCTTGTTGGGAACCAGTATCTATCTATCTATCTATCTATCTATCCACCCATCCATCTATCTCTCTACCTATTATCTCTATAATCTATCTCTATTTATCTATCAATCAATCATCTATTTATCTATCTACCTGCCTATTGATATAGATATCCAATGTTTTGCAATGGGGCCTGGAGTCGCAAGCCACCACTGCCTGAATTCCTGGCCTCCCTAGTCAGCTGTGTGACCTGGGCAAAAACCTCTGAACCCATCAGCCTGGGTCACCATGTATCAAATATGGAGAATAAATGGTAACTAAACCACCAGGTTGATTTACAGAGACTGGCATGTACTAGAAGCATAATCGTTAGCTGCTATTATTGTTGCATTTCTTTTTATTGTCACAAAATACCACTACTGGTCCCTTGGCTTCCCCCTACAGTCTGACTCCAAACCAGGTGATTTCACACTGGCCTCAGAGTGTCTTCATCTCCTTCATCCCTTGGCCCTCGTGGGGTCTCTCTTTCTGACTGCCACACCACTCCCCTGTGCCTAGAACAGTGCCTGGTACACAGAGGATGGCCAATAGTCTCTTGCTGAGTGGCCAACCAAACCCACTTCAGGGAGCCGCTCCTCCCGGCTGTGCCTGGGCCTGGTCATCATTCAGAACTTCTCCACCTCCCCCATCCCAACCTCAGACATCCCACCTTCCCACCTCACCCTGTTCCTCCTGCCGACTCAGTGTCCTGACTGCTCTCAAGCTGAACTTAAGAGACTCTCTTGTCCTTTCTCTGAAATGCCCTGAATTAGGAGCTTCATATTCTAGTCCTGACTTTATAATTGTCCGCGCTAGTTTGGGCTTGTTGTATCACCTCTCTGCTCTCATCTCATAAATGAAAAAGGAATAAAACCTGCATCTCCTGCTCCTTAGTGTGAAAGGCACTTTGAAAACTATAAAAACCAAACAACATATTACTCTTTGTTAGTTAATGTCCTAAGACACACATATTCCCGGTCTAGTTTGTGCTACTCTTAACAATTGGTAAGAATATGCAGCAAAAGACCAACTGACAGTAATTGAGAAGATCCCATTTAAGTCACTTCAGCCTTGCAGTTTCCAGACATTCAGATCATATGCTTGACCTTTTTGAAAAATATATTTTCTCTTGGGGGCCAGCCCGGTGGTGCAGCAGTTAAGTTCGCACGTTCCGCTTCGGCGGCCCGGGGTTTGCCGGTTCGGATCCCGGGTGTGGACATGGCACCGCTTGGCAAGCCATGCTGCGGTAGGCGTCCCACATATAAAGTAGAGGAAGAAGGGCACAGATGTTAGCTCAGGGCCAATCTTCCCCAGCAAAAAGAGGAGGATTGGCAGCAGTTAGCTCAGGTCTAATCTTCCTCAAAAAAAAAAAAAAAGAAAACTTTCTCTCAGTGTGGTCTATGTTATTAAAGCTCTGCTGAGCTACAGCTGACCACACCTGTTGGTGATCAAGGACAGAGGCCGATTTTGTTTAAATTGTGAGCTCTGTGGAGTCTCGTAGTTTACACTTGAGCTATGAGATTGGAACAACTAATCTGCATGGCCCATTTAGCACAAGGGGAAAGGGGCCTCCTTTCAGAACTGGGCAGCCTGATTGGCATATGGTAATCATGCCCTGGGAGGAGGGCAGGGGCTGGGGAAATCACTGGAAAGGGTGCCAGAGATTCTCCTCCTTTTAGCTTTTTAGGGTCAGAGATGGGTGGGTACAGCCCCGGTGCTGGGGACCGCAGTCGAGAATGACAGCCAGGCTCTAACCTTGGGAGACTGTCTATGGGGAGGGAGAAGACATGGAGGCCAGTGATCTCAATTCCAGGTAATGGGATGACAGATGTGCGCGGGTGCTGATGACGCGCCCTGGAGGTCGGAGAAACAAGAGGCCAATACCAGATGGAGAACCTGAGCGAGGCTTTGTAGAAAACCCGGCATCTAAGTGAGAACCCTACTTAACTTCTTTTATTAAATTAATATTATTAAATATCTTTATTTGTTTATTAACATTATTAAATGTTAATGTTTATATTAAGAAATGAAAATAAATAAAAGGTGATAATAGATGTGTCAGTTGAGTTTGACTCATTTTGGTCATGGGAAGCATCCACATTCTACATCTGGTTGTGTGACTGTCTCAAGGCCCTGGAGAAAAAGAGCAATAACTGACATAAAATAATTGCTAACATTTGGAAAGCTATGCATTTAGAACTTTACAAACTTTATCCTGTTTAATAAGTGGCAATTATCACAATGCATCCCAGGCAGTCAGCTCCAGAATCCATGTTCTTAGCTGCTGTCTCAGGCTGCCTGTGTAAGGTCCCAAGGTCCGTCATTTTGTGATGGAATCATATGGGGTATGTCCACAGACTGACGATAAATCTTTGATTTTAAAAGGCTTGCTCCTCAAATTACTATGGTTGGCCAGAGAATTGTTCTAATCATAGTAAGAGGAAAAGACAGTCAATTCTTGATTATCTGTGTTAACAGAGGAGAACAGTGGCATTGATAATTCAATACAGTTTACAAAAACCACCTGGTGCTTGATTACATTACATTAAATTACTTTAAAAATTACATGACATTTTAGTAGCTAATTATGTACTATTTATGTACCGTTTATAATTCAACCTTCTTTCAGCATATTTGCAGTAAGGTAAGCGTGTGGGAGAGCCTGGGAAAAGGTTAATCAGCATTGAATGCTGCCTTCCGGATGTAAATAACCAAAAATTTGATGGTAGAATAACTCAATCATTCTATCTTAAGATAAAAGCTTATGGAAGCTCCCACCTTATAGGCTGGAAGAATTATGAGCTCACCTGAGAAATTAGACTTATCACCCATGTCTTCTGCCTCCATGGAAAGATGTTGTTTTGAACATAGGGTGTGTGAGCTCTATAAAAACTCAGGTACACTGAGAGAATCCAATTATCTGGAAAAATAGAATTTCCTTTTATACAGTTAAATCACAGATAGATTACACACAGAAAAAGAGGATAAGAGTGAGCACTTGAAAAGGTTAAATAAGTAAGGCAAATAAGCCCTTTTCCAGTGCCCTTCCTTCAGAGTCACTATGCAAAAATCTGAAGCAGTACTAAATTCCATCTGAGTGTATTAACTGGGACTAGGGCCTGGGGAAGTCCCCTTGGATGGCTAAGCATAGAAAGTGTGTTGCTTAGACCGTCCCCGTTATCTATTATCCCACCTTCTGGAAACATCATCTCAATTTTCTTTTAAGAAACTGTCCCTCTCCCATGAGTGCAGGCTTGGCGTGATCAAGGTGCTCTGGCTGTGTGACACAAATTATACTGATCGGATTCTTCTAGGAATTTAGATATTGAACAGAGTGGCATTAAAATTGGAAACAGAGCTGATTCATCCCCTCAACAGCACCCTGAAAAGACTTTCCAAAGTTCCCACAGTGTGGATCCTCAGAGTGGCCTGGTTCTGATTCTCACCAAGGCTTGGCCATTTAGTGTTTCCTTGGCTCATGTGGTCTAATCTGTGTCCTTCCTTTTTGTCTGCTCAAGTTAGCAGAGTTGTTTCTGTTGCTCGCAACCAGTGAACGCAACCTGCAACAACCATGGAAGTCAACAAATCAGACACTTTTGGGTGAAGGTGCCTCTGAGGCACTTTCTAAAATACTTTCAGCTCAGTCAGACTCAGCTAGGGTCTCATTTACCAGATCATGAAGCTGAGAGACTAAAGGACTTTTCCAAGGCATAAAATTAGAAGCCAGGCCTTCTAACGTTTTCCATGACCTCACAGAAGCAGTGACACAGTCTTCCCTGGTTGGTTCACTATGGCACACAGGCAGGCAACTGATGCAAAATGCTACTTCAAAGACCCCTTCAATCAATTAATCAATGATTATTTATTGCAAGGCACTGTGCTAGGCACTATGAAGAGTACATGGAAGATAAGACCGAAGTCCCTGCCCTCAAGGAGCTTACAATCTAGTTGGGAAGACAAGGCATACATACAAGGAAAATTCAGTAACAATACAGGAGTTAAGTTAAAATGCAAGATAACAGTACAAGAGATTTCCAAAAGTCGTACCTGATTAATTACTAAATGAGTGGTACCGACAGGGCTTGCAGCTAATTCAGAGGCAGAACATCACAAAGGACTGGGTGTGGGAAGGCTTCACAGACGAGCTGGGGCTGGAGCCACCCTAGGACAGTTAGGATTTGGGTGAGAAAGAAGAGTGGGGAGGGTATTTCAGGGAGGGGCAGCCATGTGACCAAAAGGCACAGAGGTGAGACCAAAAGCAAGCAGTGTTCAGGGGCCAGTGAGGGCTCAGTATGGCTGGGTACAAAGTTGAGTTATTAGATTAAGAAGGGCCTTAAATGCTCAGGTTTACATTTTATCCTTTTAGCGGCACGGGTGGGGAAACCTTCAAACAAAAGATATCCTTAGGTTAAGTGTACAAAAGATTTAGCTAATCAAGAGAAAATATTCACGTTTGATCTTCAGGACATTTATTTGTGGATTTCAACCCTCTCTACTTGCAAAGAGGATTTGAAATGGTGTATTCAGGGCTATCAGTTCCAAAGGAATAGCTCAGGGGCATCTAGCTTTGGATCCTGGCCAGAGACTTTTGAGTCCCTCTATGATCTCAAATTACAACTAGCACAAGGGTGAGCTAACAAATTCCCTGACAGGCAGGCAGGAAAAATGCTCCCAAAAGACAAGTATCTTTACAAATGACAGAATATTTATTAACAATACCTTTAAAAAAAGATTACATATGCTGGATCACTGGTAAATATCATTTACACTGGGGTTGGGAACTCCCTGGGGTGTCATTTTTTTTTCATTCATTTTATTATTTTGTTGATTTTTTTGCGTGTGATTTTAAATTTTGTTTTAACATAGATGTAACCATATCAAACTAAGAAAGGAACACAGCTTGAAATACTGACAATGTTTTTTCTGGTTACCACTCTAGTTTTTACACACGTGGAATCCTGATTATGACTTTATTGGATAAATATAGCTAGAAGGTTGAAATTTAACTTATATTATTTGTAAGCGAAAACGACAAATTACAGGCAAATTTGAGCTCTCTCAGAAAGAAGAAAAGGTGGTAGCGTGTTTACATGTGAAAATTGTTATAGAAAATTTCATTGCCTTTTATATGCACTGTTCCACTAGTGTCAACTTACAAAACCTCCCCCATTATAACAAATAGTTCTTTTCATAAGAATACGGTTTTGTTGATATTGTCATTTTCCAATGTGTGGTTTTAAGACTTAGAAGGTAAAGCTTATAAAGCAACTAGGCTACTATTGCAAAACAGGAGAATCATCAAGATACCATACAATTTTACTAAAGATCTTTTATAGAATCATGAAAAAATTCTTTGCAGCAACTATTTGCTGAAATAGGAGAAATCTGCCAAACTCCGTACATGATTTTGATTCAAAAGAAGGGCTCTATTATTAAAGAGATACACATATTATATATAAAGAAATTATGAATCCATCAACAGAGAATTACCTTTTTTAAAAATGTACATTCAAAACAGATACATTTAAAGATAGTAAAATTATCTTTTATCCTTTGAAAGACTGGGTTGAGTATAGTAACTTTTGCTCTATGTTACTACAGGATATTTAACTTCAAATTTAATGTCTAAGATAATGCTACTACAAAGACGATGCTAACTTAGTGGTGTGAAAAGAAAGTCTTACCGTACACCGCTAAATTCAGGGATGGGAGTATTGCACAAGGTACCTCTTGGGCAGTGAGTTTAGGTTTTGAGATTGCAGCCATTCCTGAAACCATCTCAAGTTGGGTCAAACAAAATTGACAACAGGTTGGGAAACAAAGTGTACGTGTCAAAAGGACTTGATGCAATGCGTTAACCATCTGAAGAGTCATTTACAGACAGCAGCCTTGAGTTATAGACCAAGCCTTCAGCTGCTCTGCACTAGATCCTTGTAAAACTGTACAAGTCATTTGCAATTTATTTACCAAGATGAGTTTCAAATTCTGTCTCTAAAGGAAATATTTTCAAATAATAATTGTATGATCGTGTTGCCCATAGCATTTTACAGCAGAGGAAAAAAATTAATATCTACATTTCATGTTAACTTTAAAAAATTCTATAAAACACTAAATATATAATAAAAAATATGCATATAAGGACATATGTAAACTGCTTTGGTAACATCATATTACAGATGTCTTCAGTGCATTGCAGAGTTTCCAAAGAAACTTCAGACAAAGCTAGATTTGCTTTGAGGAAGTACTGTATAATGCCATTCCTAAAGAAGCAAAAAACATTTTTTTTTCCAGTAATAAGATGTACTTGAACAACAATATTACTTAGTACTGGGTGTCTCCAAAACAACTAGCTAAATGTTGCTTATATTATAAACAGTAAGTCCTTTAGGTGACTTTCGTCATAAACTGGACCTAGCTGTGAGGGAGATCATGATGGTGCTGATGGCTGACAGCGTGCATGCATTTGAAGTGGAAGGCCCGGCTCCTCTTGCATAGGCATCTGCAAAGAGAAAATAAATTCACTCAATATCGCCTCACCCTGGAAAGCAAGGCCACAGGGCTTTTGGAAACAGCAGAACTGGCTGGATTCTACTGAAAATGACCATTTCCTAACCACTTTTTTTTTTTTTAAAGATTTTATTTTTTTCCTTTTTCTCCCCAAAGCCCCCCGGTATATAGTTGTACATTCTTCGTTGTGGGTCCTTCTAGTTGTGGCATGTGGGATGCTGCCTCAGTGTGGTTTGATGAGCAGTGCCATGTCCGCGCCCAGGATTCGAACCAACGAAACACTGGGCCGCCTGCAGCGGAGCGCACAAACCCAACCACTCAGCCACGGGGCCAGCCCCTTCCTAACGACTTTTTAATGTCAGTTTCATGACTTCCTAGCTATGAATGTGGGAGTAGGCTATGGGACATCTCTGGACCTCCATTTAAGCATTTGTAAAATGAGGATGTCCACATCTAACACAGGAAGCATCTTCAATATTACTGGTAATGTTATTAAAATATGATGTATCAATGATGCACCCAAATAAAAATTGCTACTCCCTTTTGAACTCTACCTTTGTGCTGGGCACCGAGCAGTATGACACAATTCTCACTACAACCCTAAGAATATCTGGTATTGTTGCTATACCATTTCCCAGATGAGGAAATTGAGGCCTAGGGAAGTTAGAGAACTTGTCCACGTTCGCCTAGCTAGTAAACAGCTGAATTGGGATTCGATCCCATGTCTGTTTATGTACACCCCCCCAGACCCCCCAAAATAATCTCAATCCTTTAAAAACTTTCTCTTATAGGTCCTACATTTTTCATACTAAGAGGTTAGCAACTGTCATTTGAGGTTTCTTCAAGATTGTCAGATCTTTGACCAAAAAAAATGGAAAAATCTCTTGAGGAAAAGATCATGTTTTGCTCAAAGTTACATCCTTGTTATCTGATAATGATACCAAGATAATTGCTTAAACTTTGTTTTTCTAAGCAATTAAACCAAGAATCTCAGTCACCCTAAAAAAATATATATAATCCTTGCAATGATAAGAAAGTGTGAAGTGAGATTTTAACAAAGTGAGATAAACTAACCTCAAAACAAACCCCAATCTTGTTTTGTTTTTGTGGCCTTGAGATTAGTTCCATATCTCACCATAAATCTGGTTCCCTTTCAACAGAAGTTAGAGCCCTTGGTTTAACGAGGTGTAGAATTCAATTCTCCCCAGTTTCTTATAAGACAAATATGCTGTTAGTCTTTGTATGCAAAAAAGGTGTAATAAATAGAAACTTCATCTGGAAACTGGCAAACTACTCCTGAGTTCAGAGCATAGCTTGCTGCAGCCTTGGTTTTCCCATCTGAAGTCCTGTTCTGTTCGTTAAGATTAACAAATGCTTATTCAGAAGAAGGGTGAAAGGACCAATGAACATTTTCTCTTCTGATTTGAGGCATCCGAATGTTATAGATGCAACTAAAATTGCTTGGTGGATGCTTTATTCTAACTTGACATCAGCAAGACACACTAACCTCTTTCCTCATCTGAAAAATAATGCAATGGACACTTGGCAGAGGGGCTGAAACTCAGGACTCTGCAGTAAGGCTTTTGCCCATGATTTGTAATATCATCTCTCCACTGAGGGCTTGAAAATTTATATCTCCAGTCTTCACTGAATCGCTTATCTCCAGACTGTTAAATCCAAAGGCCAATGAAAATTGACACTTAGATATCTAACTACAATTTTTTTTTATCGTGGTAAAATATACATAACATAAAGGTTACCATTTAAATTAAAGTGTGCAATTCAGTGGCTCCAATTTTGTACAACCAGTACCATCTAGTTCCAGAACTTTTTCATCACCCTAAATGGAAAGTCAGTACCCATCAAACCACAATTCGCACCACCAGCCAGTCACTAATCTGATTTCTGTTTATGGATTTGGCTATTCTGTTTTTTTTTCCTTCAAATAAATGAAGTCACATAACAATGACAAAAAAAAAAAAATGTGCTGAGATATTTGCAAACATAGGATTTGAAAAATAGGAATGAATATATTTGCTCAAAAAAGAATACTCTCAAAACTATTCAACAAACTTTAAAAACAAATAATCTTGACTATATATAGACATATGCATTTATGTACATATGTTACACACACATATTCAAAATAAATAGTGTCAAGTTCAAAATACTTTCAGCCAAAGACATTGAATTACATCGTTTCACTAGAGACAAATTGCCAAAGCATTTTAAAGTACTCTTTTGCTTGTTCCTCCTGACTGAGGCATGCTTTTAACTTGCTAAGCTGTAATTTGGGGGTTATTGTAGACGCCAACCACATGGGGCCACATGGAAAAACCTGTGTGACCGATTTGGGGCTGCTTTAATCTAATTTTTGATTGGAACAGATTAAACTGGCCAACTGTCTTTTGCATGAAATGCCTGTGATCAGCAAACACCAGTTGTCTGAGGAAGGGGGTGGTATGGTCCATTTTTATTAGAAGTCTTTCTTTGTGGGCTTAATTTCATTGAAGCCCTGACTCATTGCGAAGGCTTATAAGATAAGTTAGGGAGGGAGAAGGGAGAGGGAAAAAAAGGCATTCTTACTTGATATCTTTGGAATTCGAATTTGTTCACTGCTGCTGCCGTCTCCTCCATCACTAAATGGCTTAATTTCTATTATATAATCTTCATCAAAAGGCAAAGAAAGCTCCACCGATGTTTTATTTGTTTCAATGACAGATGTGCTGCTTTGTCTGTTCCATCTGTACAAGACCTGCCAACACAGAAAGAACAGGTGTCACCTGCTGTCCTCACAAAGGCCCCAGAGATGGAGCCTTCCTTTGTTTCCACCTCTGGGCACGAGTGAAATGCAGGGCCACCAAGGTTGTCAGGCTGCCCACATGCATTTGGGAGGCTCATTTATAGCAAGGGCCATGTCTGCAGCTGCCATTTCATCATGAGGAAAGAGTTTAAAGGATACTGCAGCATGGGGCTGGGGGGTAGCATGAGTCTACCAACACGCTGTGTGGCCTCACGTAACCTCTGGAAGGCTCAGCTAGCACACCTGAAAAAATTAATACCTCTTTGAGGATGTATAGAGCTCAGTTACACATGAGGGGCTTTGGCATCAGAATAGACTTGGCCACTGTGTGACCATGGTCCACTTACCTCACCTCTCTGAGCCTCATTTCTCTCATCTGTAAATGGGGATAATAATACCCACCTTTCTGGGGTTTTCTCAAGATTGCACAGGACTGAATATAGGGAAAGGCCTGGCTCTAAAGGAAACATGTAAGAAATAGTATCTACGAGAGCTCAAAGGGAACAAGAGATGGAAGCATACTTGGCAAAAGTTAGAAGCACAGGGCAGGATAAGCTACTATTATCATGGATCCTTTGGAGAGAGGGCATTCCAGCATGGGGAGAGGATCTCTGAAAGGCAAGGGCAATAACTCCCTTTTTCCTACCACTGGGAATCCCTTTTGAGCTACATACAAAATAGGGGATGTTATGCGGAAATCGCAGTCACTCTAGAAGCGTCTGCAGCTTTAGCAGTCCCCTCACGCACTTTTGTTTCCCTTCTTGGCCGCCACTGGCTCTGAGTCTGGGTTAGAGGCTCATTTGATGAGGTGGCCAACTAGGTCTCGTGAAAACACATTCACCTGCCTGGTAGTGCCTATGCTGATCATCATCAACTCCAATGAGGAACAAAATATAAAAGCCTGGAAAAGTGCATCCACCTTTCTGGATACAACAATAATTGTGATGATAACTATCCCACAAATACTCTCTGATGTTTGCTATGAGCTAGGCATTTTATCGACATCACCATGTTTAATCATCACAGCAATCCGAGAAGACAGGTATTAATCCTTTCTACAGATGAGGAAACTAAGGCTCAGAGATGTCACAGAGCCGGTAAGCGGCAGGATGAGGATTCCTAAACCTGTACTCTTAAACCTCTATAACCCACCAGCTCCAGTTTCCCCTGACAATAGGAAAGATAGGGTTGGGTGTCATCAGTGGTTCTCAGTCCTGGCTGTGTGTTAGAAGGACTTAGGAGCTTGTGAAAATACTACTGCTGTAGTCCAGTGGTTCTCAACAAGGCTGGGAGGGGTAGAGGAGCAATTTTGCCCCCCAGGGAGCATTTAGTAATGTCCACAGACACTTTTGGTTATTACAACAGGAGCTACTGGCATAGTAGCTAGAGCCAAGGATGTCACAATGCAGAGGACAGGCCCCACAACAGAGAATTATCCAGCTTGAAGAGGCAGCAGTGAGGAGGCTGAGAAACCGGTCTGCAGCCCCCCTGCGTCAGACTCTGTAGAGGCAGGGTCCAGGCTATGCAACTGTTTAAAACCAGATCTTCAGGTGATGTTAATGTGGGCTGGGGATCATGGGTTAGATCAGGCATTCTCAAAGCTGAGCATGCATCAGAAGCCCCTGGAGGGCTTGTTAAAACAGCTTGCTGGCCCCCACCCAGAGTTTCTGATTTGGTATGTCTGGGCTGGGACTTGAAAATCTGCATTTCTAACAGGTTCCCAGATAATGCCATTGCAGCTGGTCCAGGGACTACACTTGGAGAACTACAAGATTAGTTCCTCCTTCCCTAAGGCCCACTATAAATCTGATCTGCTGAGGTTAGAGACAGAAGGTCACTCTTCTATTGCAAGAAAAACCAAACACAAGTGAAATTCATAAAATTCCCTTAAAATGGTTTAGATCCCATTTGTTCCCTGGCATTTCATCACCTTAATTTATGTCTCTCTAATACAAGGTGGAAAACACAATTTCCTTAAGGTGGAAAGATTCATAAGCCTTCCCCCTTCCTTTTTTGGAGCATCAGTTGTATCAAACTCAGCATCCCCTCACCAACGATCAGGCTCAAATAAATCCTCAGGCACATTCAGCAGTGAGTGTCAAAGCATCTCATCACAGCCCTTCAGGAACATGGGCTGGCTGATGGGATGCAAGGGCACATCTGGCTTTGAGGAATAAATTGCTTCTTTGATTTACCTCTGGTCCTCGCCAGAGTGCAGAGAATTCAACTAGTTTCAAATATAAATCCAAAAGAAACACTTCCACAAAAAAAGCAGCCCTTTTATCAGCACTGCTTATCAGTCTTGTAATATTACTGACTGCAGTGGAACCTAAATAAAGGCCTGTAAAACCTTTATTTACACCAAACACTCGTTCAGCTGACTGACTTGAAGGCTGAGCTTGCATTTCATACAACCCAGGGTAGAAGACAAGGAGAAAGAATGGGCTCATGGGCATGACGATAATGGCATCAAACACTGTTGAACCCTTACTAGGTGTTTAAACACTGTATTTTCTAAATGCTAACAGGGATTACCTCTTGAGGTAGGCACTGTTGTTATTTTGATTGCAAAGATGAGGAATCTGAGACTGTAGAAGTTAAGCAATTTGCCCAGGGGCCAGCAAGTTGTGGACCGAGCATTCAAACCTAGGCAGTCTGGGTCCACAGGCCGTATTCTTGACTAATATTGGATGGCCATACCTGTGTGCTTGTGGGCAAGTTGCTTCCCCTCTCTCATCTATGTCTTCATAAATGCAAAATAAGGGGGTTAGACAGGAGAAAACTGATGGCCCATGGGTCATATTTGGCCTGCATATGTTAACTGCTTGGTCCTTATGGTGTTTACTTTTTTTTGAGTTACATGTCACCAATTAAAAATGAAGGAATTATAGGTGAAAAAGTTTGAGTTCTACTGAAAAACTGGAAGATGTGGCCATGCTGGTCTACATTCCTTTCTGGCAGCAATTGGCTGGAGAAGCCACTGCCTATTCTGGACAATCACAAATTCTGCAGTCTGTCACAGTCTCCAACACTTTCTATTGTGTCCATGTGCCCACCTCAGGACATTTGCACATCCTGTTTGCTGTGCTTGGAACACTCTTTCCCAGAGAACTGCCTATCTCACTTCCTCCTTTCTGTCAAAGCCCAACTGAAATGTCACCTCTTGTAAGAGGCTTTCCCTGGTCTTTGTATAAAATAATGTCTCTCCTGTCTCTTCCACAGCACTGTCTATTCCCCTCACTATGAGTTATTTTTCTTGGTAGTACTTTATTACTACTTGATATATTCGTTTATTGCTGGTAGGCAGAATAGCTGAGTGGCTAAAAGGTGGGACTCTGGATCCATACTGCCTGATTCAGATCCCAGGTCTTCAATACACTAGTTACGTTGATAATACTATATCATATGCTTGAATGTTCCTAAGAGAATAGATCTTAAATATTCTCACCATAAAAAAGAAATGGTGATTATGTGATGGGATGGAGGTGTTAGCTAAGGCCATGGTGGTAATCATTTTGTAATATGTAAATGTATCAAATCAACGAATCGTGCACCTTAAATTTATATACAATCTTATATGTCAATTATATCTCATAAAGCTGGGACAAAATAGACTAGTTATGTGAGGTAGGCAAGTTACTAAACTCTGTGCCATGAGTTCTTCATCTATAAAATTGGGGCTAATAACTGTACCTACTTCATGGGCTATTACAAAGTTAAAATAAATTACAACAGTGCTTGGCACATATATTTACAGTATTTGTTGAAAGGACCGAGTCAACTTAACCCATTTATGTAACCTGCCTGGCTTGGTAGGCAGTTTGGCTTGTGATACTAAAACTGTATGTTCTCTTGTTAGCTTGAGTGTCACAAAGTAGCTTAAGGATTTGTGCTGACAGAATATTCTGGGTCTCAAACTTCCTAAAGTCAACTTCTTATTGAGACTGTTTACCTAAGCAGAAATCCCATGAACTTAGACAATTTAGGTAAAAATGCAAAAATAAATGCACACACACAAATCATATGCGTAATTAAAAAAATTATACATCTCCAAACATTTACATGGTATACGTAGCAATTCAGTATCTAGAGCCAGTTACAGTGAGATTCCTCGGGATCTAACTGGGGCTGTGGGGACTCTGGCTCCTCCAATCCCAGCCCTAAAGAGAAGGGTTCTTGAGTCGGAAATCAAGAAGAATTCAGAAAGAGCCCTTTCCTACCATCTGGTCTAACCTTGTTCCTCCTTCTCTTTTCTCTACCGTCACACATGCAGTTTCTGCAGCATTTCACACACTTGACACCCATCCATCACTGATGCTTCCTTAGATACAAAATTCCCAACTTGGAGCTGCCACTATATTTTTCATAATAATCTAGATCTACAGGATACAGTGAACCAACATGAAAAACCATATTTGGAAAAATGTCTAAATCCATAGCTTAAATAGATTATATCATCTGATCTGCTGCTCTGATATGGAAAGATTCCAAGCTCTCCACTTATCATTTGTTCCAATGTTTTATTCCTGTTCTATGGAAATAAAAATTTCCCCCCATCCTATGCCAGGCCCAGCAGGTCTTTTCTGGGAGGTGAATGCCTCAAGTTTGTCTTGCCCTGCTTTATTCCACCACACCCTGCCTGATTCTATGCTGCTCAAGTAAATCTCCGAGAGGTCTGCCAAAGTGTCTGTTGTGGTAAAAAATATAAGAAGGGCCTTCTTGGAAAGGTGCGACCAAGACAAGCTCATATGAGAGTTTCTGAATGGGGACAGGAGTACAAAGAAATGGCAACTAAATAATACTTGTTCCTCAATTTTTTTCCTAAAAAATGCCTATAATCTTTTGAACCCAGTTCACTGAAGCAAACTTCAGCTTGCATACAGATCTCTGCCTCTGTGAAAGCTGTGGGCACTCCAAGTCACTCAACTCAACAGGCTTCCGTTTTCGCATCCGTAAAATGAAGGGCTTTGCCTAGATGATCTCTAGGATCTCTTGCTGAGCTAACATTTTGCCTGGCTGCCTGAAACAGTTTAGGTAGCTCCCTGCCCTTCGATTTTATTTCAGCACCAGCTTGAACATGAGCTTAAAATCTAGTTAAAGCTTCTCTCACGAAACTCGTGCCCCTTCTCAGGGACTCTTAAAGCTTTCTGCACTTTTATTGTGCTTTTTTAATCTGTTCTAGTGGGTGAAACTGCAAGCTGGGAGGGACAATTTTTAATCTGTTCTAGTGGGTGAAACTGCAAGCTGGGAGGGTTTTTTCACTGTCTCTCTTGGTTTGGTTAAGTCAATTTGGGCCACATCACATCTGCATTTCTTTCCGGTGGTGATTAAGGTCCTGTCATGTTAGCCTGGGATAGAACTGCAAAGTTGCAAATGTCTGTCTTTGCTCTTGCCTTCTTTCTTTTCCTCATTTTAGTGGACTCCTCCCTCTTTCATCTTCCAGTCTCTCTTGTCCTGTATAAAACTGATCAGATAAACTGACATTATTTCACACTAAGAGGCTAACGATTTAGGAGTTCAGGAAATGAGACCTCCTTTCTAGGACAACCAGACTGAATGTATGCTTGGCTGGAGAAATCAGGGTGAAATTCAGCCACTGTTCTCTTGAGGTCCACAGTATGGGGATTCACAATAAGGCATCAGCCAATTACAATTACCCAAGAGGATGGAAGGTTTAAAGGCCATTTAAAAAATATGGCCAACAGAGAGAGCTCTGGCCATCAGGGAAGGCTTCTAAGCTCAGAACTGAAAGATGAGTGGCTGGTTAAGAATGTGGAAGTAAGGGGTACAGTCCCAAGGAGATGGAACAGAGATGCAAAGGCTCAGAGGAAAATGAAGATACTAGAAAATAAAATTTCTCCTTTAATAAAAGAAAAATGCAGTCCCAGAGATATTAAGTGATCTACCTAAAGTCACATAGCCAATAGAGGACCAAAACATAGGTCTCCCGTTTCTTTATGTTATCCAGTCATTCGCCACATAATGACATTTAACTCAACAATGGACTGCTTATACGAGGGTGGTTCCATCAGACTGTTGCCATATAGCCTAGATGTGCAGTAGGCTAGACACTCTAGGTTTGTGTAAGTATACTCTATAGTGTTTATACAATGACGATATCACCTGACGACGCATTTCTCAGAATGTATCCCCCATCACTAAGCAATGCATGACTGTATACTTTAAGACCCTTCCAGAAGAGGTTGCCTTTAAAAAAGGACTCAGTGAAAGGTCTGCAAATTAGTTTTTAGGGAATGTTTCTCTGCTGGCAGAATACAAGTCACTATGCCATTCAGGTGAAGGAAAAACAGTCCATGAAAAGGAAGGTTTTCCGAATCCTTCTCTAATCACATCGCCCAAGGCTTTACTAATGACTATGTCAACTCCCAATTCCAGCTCTGGCTTTACCAACTACTTCCCAACGGTCCATGTTCTTTAACTAGTGCTTGACAGCACTGCCTATCTGCTACTCTCAACATCGCTGTGCAAAAACGTCACAGCCCATGGGCTTAAGTCAGCCTGCAGACCACTTTCATTTGACCTGCACTGATTGCCTCAAACGTCGTTTAAAAGTAAAAAACCCCAAGATATTTATAACCCATTTTAACTGGGGCACCAAGGCTACGTACATTTTCATTTCTAGCTCTTTAAAGTCTGGCTAACATTTATAGAATCAGGCAAAGGAATTTTCTAAAAAATCTCTGCTTCTTTTTCTATATACGCATCTCCCTAACAATAGGAATATGAACAAAAATGATTAACCGTTAGTAATACTGAGAAGTTATTGTTGATTAAAAGAATACAACCAAGACAAGAACAAAACAAAACCGACAGTAGACATGTTAAAAATGTGGTTCTTCAGGATTTTTCAGAGTCCCCACCACAGGGTCTAACCATATCAGACTGACTCTGTCTGAACCCAAAGTTTAGGCAATTCTCTAAATCCTGGCCCATTGCCAGGGACCATTTATAAAACTCAGACCACTTTGAGGACAGAGATTCCTAAAGAGGCTGTGAGAGTATCATCAGAGAAAAGGAGAACACGGTTCATATGATTCATTGGAAGAGACTGTCCCCATTAACAGCATTTGCAAAAAAGAAATTACCCACTTTGTATCCTTTTACTTCCGACTCATTATCCAGGGCCTTCACTTGATCCCAATTCAGGATAATTTTGGAGTCCGATGAATTCCATATGATGTTTCCGGGGGGTTGACTTGGTGCTATAAAAAAATTAAGATATACGAAGTCACAGATTATTAAGTCTCAATGGATTCTGAGGAATATCTCCTTACTACAATTCGAGAGTGGAGGCAATTTAATGGACTATTGCACTAATATGTGTCTTCAAGGTCACTAAAATATGACGAGATACAGCACTGCAAATGGAAAAAGATTCAGTTGGTCGCCTAACATGTATAGCTAAAAGAAGTAGCCCTTCCCAGTAAGGAGAAAAACATTTATCTTTCTGTCCTCTGGAGCAATGAATTTTGCATGGTATTCAGAAAGCTTCAGTTAAAATGCTAAGGTAAATTTGAATCCACATAATGATACCAATTAGTATGCAAATGATCATTGGGAGGTGGGGATGCGGAATGAACTTGGGATATGTTTAATGAATCCCTAAAATATTTTTGAGCAAGGTTGTTCTTACGTGGCTTTCTGGTCGTCACGTTGACCGTTGCACTGGAGGGGCCTGTCCCAGCAGTATTATATGCCTTGACAGCTAAATGATATAGTGCACTGCCTTTTAAGTTGGTGATTTTTGTTGATGTCTGATTTCCGATTGTTCGTATTTTTCTGGCGTTTTCTTCCTTGTCATCATGTCTCCAGTATTTAACCTGAGAAAATAAAAAGGAAGACCTCGAAAATCATAACTATTGGGGATATTTCCAATGTCATCAGGGAATTTTTTTAAATACAGATTCTTATGATTGAGTTCATTTTCTATTCTAATTCACAAGCAGAGCTTTCAGAACCAAGAGCTTTGTATGCTCTGAGAAATTATCCACAGTAAGAAGGGCCCCTTTTTGTTCTTAGCTTCATTGTGAGATGTAAATTGGCGCAACCACTGCTGGCTACTTCTCCCTTTTTTCCCACCTTTGTTTTGAGCCCAAGGAATCCCAGGCATTTCAGAAGTTAAAGCTCATTTTGCCAACTATCTCATAAATGCTTATACCTCCATCTATTTTAAAAAACATCTCTGGAGCATACCACAGAAAAGGGTAATCTCACAGTGGAATGTTCTGTGCTTCCATTAATGCTCCCCTAGAAGCAATTGTTCCCTAAAACAAATGCTTCTAAATGGGAATCCAGGTCTTTTTCGCATCAGAGTGTGTTTTGAAGGTCTCACTGAGACCTAGGGACTCTTTCCCAGACTCAAGGCTCATATCTCTTGCTTACCTCATAACCTTGTATCCGTCCTCTATTCTTCTCTATCGGGGATGCCCAGAAAACTTCAATGTCTGTTGCAGAAAGACTTCTGGCAAAGATGCTGGCTGGTGGTTTGGTGGGTTCTGAGGATGAGTATGGAAAAAGTTATCACTCTATCAGCTGCATCAGGACAAACTTCTAGATACTGGCATTACAAGGTGCAAAGCATCCATGGTTATATTATAGCTCTTAGTGATTATGATCCAAATCCTCTTTTTATAGAGAAGCCATGATTAACGGCTGGGGGTGGGGGGGTGGTGATGAACACGGTGGTGAAGAGACTTGTCCAAAGTCTTTGGCGTCTAAATTTGGGGGTAGGTGAAAGGGAACTAACCTAAGACTACTTAAGTTTAAGCACCACGTTTTCATAGCCAGTGATTCCTTTAACACACATCCTTCTTAATTAGCATTTGTCATAGATGAACCTGAGTCTTAGTCACTGGATTATGAAAATGAAAGAGAAAGGCAAAAGGAGAGTCACCTGACTTGACTAAGATTCAGGAGAGCCAGGTGACTGTTCAGTTCTACATAGCAAACTGTTTGATCTTGGACAGGTCATTTATGCTTCATGGGCCTCAGCATCCTCAAATGCAAAGGAGAGCCTGGACCAAGACTGCTTCCCCAATTTCAGTTACTTTCGCCAGAGATATATACCATTATTATATATTAATATTTTCCTTTCCGTGGTCTTTCTTAAAGAAAAACCTAGCCATGTCATGCATACTAACATTCATAAAATCCTGGTTTTCATTTGATAGCTGTATTTTTTTCGAATGCAATTCAAATCAATATATAACTATTAAATATTTTTAATAGTTCCTCTGGTACCATTTACAATCAACTTGTGGACTCCCTCTGGAATACACATCATGTTACAGAAAAAGTTGGACAAGGAGACCTCTAAGGTTTTGTCTATCCATAACAATGTAAGCTTCTATTTCTGTTAATTAATTCAGTACTTATTAAGGGTCTATGTGTCAGGCACATTTAGACACTGGTGACACAAACATGAAAAATAAATAGCCGGCCCTCAAGAAACATACCTTAGTGAGGATGGCAAATTAAAATTCAAAGTTTATAATACATTGAGATGAGAGTATAACAGGAATGTTAAGATATTAAGGTAAAGAGAAGCACTTAACACAGTTGGCCAGGGGAAATGAGAGAACCTTTGTTGTTCAAGTGGAGTCTTGAAGAATGACCATGAAATCACAAGGTGGTCAAGACAGGGAACATTAAGAGAAGCTGAAGCATATACAAGGGGCTCAAGCTTGTTTGGATAATTGCACATCCTTTGGATATGGTTGGAGCATGGAGTATGCAGGGTAGCAGCAGGAGTTGAACCAGAAGATAGAGTCAGGGGCTAGATCGTGAAGGGTTAATTCTAAAAATAGAATTCTTTTAAAAGTAATGATAACATATATGTAGATATGAAGACCTTTGTGGTGCTTGTGATTTTGGTCCTTAGCAATGGAATTAATAATGGGTAGTCATTAGTCTTTATATACAGTAGTATTGCTATCTTTCTAAGATACCAGTGGTAAATAATTAACCAAATTTTTACATTATACTCTTCTCAAATAAGGATATACCTTAAATTTATGGGTACAGTGCTAAAGCGATTGTACATCCTAAAATCAATTTCTCAGAATTGAAGAAATATCAAATATCTAGGCAGCATAAACCATACCTTCTTCTGCAGAATATACCACTGTGGTGGGACTGAAAGGGCCTTCTCCTTTATTGTTGAAGACACCCACTTTAACCTCGAAGGGAAAGAAGGGGCGCACGCTCTCATTCCTGAATACGTATCTGGAGGCATCAGCTGAGGCCAGCACTGTCAGCATCCAGATTATTTTGCCATAGGGCCGGAAAGCCACCACGTAACCAAAACCTCTACCATTCTGTAATTCCTCGGGGACTGTCTGGGAAGGAAGGGAGGTGGTTTTCAGAAATCACAGTAGTTTGATTCAAATGTTAAAATTGTTTTATTCTCCCTCCCCAACATTCTTGTCCATATTCTTCCCCACCAATCTTATGTTGGGCTTTGTCGAGTCTTAAATTTGGGGCTTGCCATTGATCTACCTTAAATATTCATGAGGTATTGCAGAAGGTTAAAAAACTTGATGAAAATCTGCAATAGAGAGCCTGACTTCTTCATGGGGAGACTCAGCTCTGAAATTGTTGGAAATGACTGGACAGTTGATCTAGAACCCAACAATTTCAACATATACCATCTAATATGAATCTTCCTCCAGTGCCAAATAGACAAAAGATCTCATTGAAGAAGTAAACAGCATCTTTGCTCAGCCAGGATCAGACTGAAGAGCTGAGCCAGAGGGAGTGATTTCTTTCACTGCTGGGGCTTTGGTTGAATGAAAGATTTTAACTTCTGGGGCTGTCATTTAAAATTCTTCAAAAACATTTAGGAACCCATTCTAAAACTCCCACCTCCTCTCTCAAAATCAATTTCTGATAAATTGGTGACTAACCTTCCTCCAGGTTGTTTAAAAAATACCTCATAGAAGAGAGCTCCAGCAGCAAAGCCAACTGCCAGGAAATCATGCTGGTACACTGAATCTATTGCTGGCAAATGTTTTAAATCAATTAGTCATGCAGCAATTGAGGAAGAAAAGAAAAACTGGTTTTCTCTGAACCAGCCTTCTTATATATATATATATATATATATACATATATATATATTTGGTTTTTACTTCTGTTGTCTTCCCTTTCATGATTGTTTTTCCTGTGATGAATTGAATTAAAACTTAACAATTAATGGGCAAGCACCATCTTGTTCTGCTAGTCATTAGCTATGTGAGGGGGAGTGTTTGCATGCAAATGGATTTTAGCTGTTAAAAACAGAGGAGGAAACTTCCCAGATATGTTTAACATAGAGGAAAATAATAAAATCGCCTAGACTAATGTATGTTCCTTTGGTTCTATGATTCATTTACCTCCCAGGTTATAACCAGTTCAGATTTGCTGCCTCCACCACCACTGACATTAGCTGGGGTGACTTCTGGGACTGTGCAGGAGACAAAAAACAAGTCATGTCAGATGGCAAGGGCAAATGAGGGCCAGGAAGTTTGCCTGGCTGAGGTGACTCACTTTAAATGAATACTCTGATGCACACACCTTTGTCTTTTGGGATCAGAAAGGGGCCCAAAGCATCAGCTTAAGGAAGTGAAACATACCGAGGAAGTTGATACTGGTTACCTGTTTCCCTTTCAACAAGATACACATGTTATCTGACATGTCTGACCAATGGTTCAGCTCCATCCCTAAAGGCTGAGGTTCACTGAGATGAGGAAAGGACTGAGGTTCTGGTTCTAAAGCTTGGGTAGGCATTTATTAACCATGCGGTTGTACACAAAGGAGAGACAATAGACACTCTGCCCCTGCAGAGCTTACAATCTAGTTGAGGCAGAGAGCACATACAGGACAATTATAGAGCAATGTCAACAATAAGCAACAGTACGGTACAGACAGAATGGAGAAGTGCAGTGGTGTTCTGAAGTAGCAGGCTGCTCAGAGTAGGGTAGGGCTAATGGCTTCTCAGGGGAAGGTGAGTTTTAAGCTGGGTGTTGAAGGAAGCGGTGAACATAGGTTGACCCTTGGCTCACTGTGCTTAAACTCTTTGATCCCCAGTTTTCTCTGTAAAAGAGGGGAAATTATGCTAGCTTCCTCCTCATGATTGTTGAGAAGAATTAATTAAATTACAGTTTTGGAGGGGGAAAAGAAAGCATGGGGTTTAGCTATATTATCAGCATGTAAATGAAAGACCCCAGACAGAGTTTAAAATTGTCTAGCTGGGGTATGTAGTTGGTAACTGGGTATGTCCCCTTGGTTAAGGCCTATGAAATAGATGTAGATGGGTTTTTGTCCAGGAGTAGGGTCAGAGTTCTCATTTGCTTAGGGACCTTGTTATTCCTTCAACAAATATTTGGTATTGTCACAGCTGGGAAGTCTACACAGACCCATACTTAATGAGAGAAGTAAAAATACAACTAACGCAGATGAATTGATGTCATTCTCTCCCTTTGGGAATTCAAGCTGTGTACATGAGGGTCACACTAAATTTCTGCATGGGTTTGTGTGAAATAGCAAGATGTTCTGAATCTTAGCTTCTGGGAACGGTTTATACCCTAAGAAAATCTTACTGAACATTTCTGAAGAACTTATTCTTTGCTACAGTGATTTCTGTGAGTTGATTTCATTTGAAATGTGGGGTATGTATTTAAAAAAATAATAATCCTGGTAGGAGAATCTTGGTGACCAAACAAACCAATGAAGAGTTGACATTGGAGAGAACTAAACACAGAGTATCTATCCCTGTACAAGGGGTCCCAGGGAAGAGTGAGAACTTAACTCTTGATTGAAACTCACTACTGGTTAAGCTGAGCATCTACTGGCGTGATTTCTGATCATCATAATCATCCCAGGGAAGGGTGTGCTAATACAGAGCCTCAAGAGGGCTGAAGAGCAGGAAGAATTCAAAGCCTTTCCCTAAGGAACAGTAGCCTCTGGAACAGACTATCTGTATCCTGGGTGGTACTCACGGGCCTCTTCTGTCCTCCGCTTCTCTGAGGGCCGGCTGGGCTCCCCAATCCCAATCACGTTGGCTGCAACTGTGCGGAATTCATATTCGACCCAAGGGTTCAAACCCACCACTGTTGCTGTGAATGTCTTCCCATCAATGAGTTCCGGGACTGAAAGACATCAAAAGGTGAGGATGTTTCACAGGACTCCACGTTAGGAAGACAGGAATTTCCATCCATCATCATCACCATTACTGTGTTTAGGGCACTGTAGGCAGTCTGAGAGTAGCTGCACCAACAGCTGTTACAGGAAGGTAATCCCAGAACTTTCTATGCTAAACTAATAAGCTCAAATCAGACACCATCACAAAAGACACAGTCTTCAAGGCCCAAAGCTACTGGACTGTAATCATTACTGTTATCACTTAACATGTTTTTCAGCATTTATGGTGTAGTGCCAGGCACATTGTTTAATTCTTACAACTATCCTATGAGTAAGGTAAAGTTATTGTCTTCATTTTTTATAGATGAGGAAAATGTGCTTCACGAAGGTTAAGTGACTCACCCAAGGTCACACTGGATTTCTACCTTTGTCTGTCTGTGGTCCAAGCTCTATAACTTATCATAACAATGGAGTTACAATATTATAAAACTATACTACTACTGTCAATGAACTGTATTAGCATATCTATAGAATCTGTAAACAGAAAAGGGCTGGCCCATGAAGAAAACAAAAAATGAGAGTCAGAGAGGCAGAATTTGACAGTGTTCACCTAGCAGTATTTGGAGAAGGGCTCCGGCACAGGAGGACATGGCCTGCTTGATGCCACAGCCATGAAGCTCTGGATATTGCTTCCGTGCTCACAGAACAACTCTTTGAATTTTAGACTGATTGCCAGAGATTTCCCACTGGGGCCAGAAGACTCAACAGGAGGTCCCCTGTGACCAAGCTGAGGTCACCATCCTGGTGACTAGGCTGCAGTGGCTGCTAGCCTCCTCGGGCCACACCTACACCGTCCTACCCTCCAAAGATAAAAAGCGTGGGCTCTGAAGTCAGACCACCTGGACTCTAATCCTGAGTCCACACTTAGCAGCCAAATGACCTTGGGCAAGTTGCTTAACCTTTCCATGCTTTGGTTTCTTCACCATAAAATAAGGCTAATGACAATATCTATTCACAGTGTGGTTGCAAAAATCCAAGAGAAGCATTTAGCAGAGCATATGAGACTTAGTAAGAGTTCAACAAATTTCAGGTTTTTTTTTTAACCATCATTATTATTAGCAGCAGCATCTTCATCCTCCTCCTTTCCTGCATTATATTTATGCAGCACTTTCTATTTTTTAAAAAGTTTCACAATCATTTCTCTTTTGGGTCATAAATAATTCTTATTATGCCCATTTAACAGAAGAGGAAAACGAAGATGAATAGAGATCTGCTGATTAGCAGAGTCAGGAGTAGACTTCATATTTCCTCATGTCCAGATTTTTCCTATCTTTCCTTTCTAAAACACTCTTGTGACCCAGAAGAAAGTCAGTGATTCAGCTGGAAACACAGAAACCCATTTCTAATGTTGGATAAGCTAAAATGAAAAAAAAAGTTGTTGAAATCATTACTATTCATATGAATTGCATAAAACTGGGCTTATCAGTCCATTTATTTCTATTTCAAAACATCAAGGCAACACAGCCAACCCTTGACCACTAGAGGAGTGTGTATCTTGCTTACAACAACTACTTGTTTGTTCAATTTTTCCTCAAATGAAAGCCAAATAAAATAACAAAATGAGTCAGTTTGGAGGTATTGACAGAGATGGGATACTATGGCTAACTCACGTAATTTTAATTTAAAAAAATCTCATGCTTTTCCACGCCCAAATTTAACTACCTAAGAAATGGGCTCCAAGCTTCAAGTCAAGAGACTCCATGTAACCCTTAGTTATCGGCTTCTTGAGAGCTGCGTATAAACTTCACATTGACTGTGATTGAAGACTAGCACAATCCACTGCTTCCCAAAGCGTGCTAGTGATACGCAGACAATATTAGGTAACACACAGATAGATGCATTTTATTTCTAACTAACGTATTTTTAAATGGGTATTAAGAAAAAAATATAATGAGCATAACAGACCTATCATTTCACAGATGTTCTTGCTTAGGATGAGTTAAAAACAAAGGAACAAACATGAGCTGATATAAAGAAAACTATTAAATAAATGATAGTACAGTTGGCTGAAGTGTAGGAAATACTTCCACTGTATTGTTTGCAGCTGTGTCTGAACAAGAACCTAGATGCTCCTTGGCTTCTGCCACAGTGCTTTGTCCACTATGTTGACTTTCAGAAGCCCCTTAAAGATACCAGCACCAGGTATCCAATATGGTACCTGTATTGACTGCTTGCCAGCCCACGGAGAATGGAGTTCTGGCTTGAATGACATACATGGTGATGGGGCTATGGTTGTCAGGCCCGGGTCTCCAGGAGAGCTGAGCGGTGGTGTCTGTAATTTCATCTATGGTGACAGCCTCTGGGGGTCCTGGGGGACCTGTGAAAGAGCAAGAGCCTCAGAATTGGAGCAGTGTGTTCAAATGTCTGAGTAAGTAATGACCCAATAGGATGCTGACCTATTCAACTATTTATTGACTCACTCACAGATTCCTCACTTGTCAATTCCTTTTTGGATACCTACTAGGTGCCCAGCATTCTTCCAGTCTCTGAAACTACAGAGATGAATGAAACATGGCCTCTTTCTTCTAGGGGCTCATAATAGAACAGGAAAAGCTAATAGATAAACAAAGAATCACAAGAGAATATTTGGTCTAAGGGCCAGCCCCGTGGAGAAGTAGTTAAGTTCGTGCGCTCTGCTTCAGCGGCCCAGGGTTTTGCTGGTTCGGATCCTGGGTGTGGACATGGCAACACTCATCAGGCCAAGCTGAGACAGCGTCCCACATAGCACAACCAGAGGCACTCACAACTAGAATATACAACTATGTAGTGGGGGGCTTTGGGAGGAAGAATAAGGAAAAAAAACAAAAAAAAGATTGGCGACAGTTGTTAGCTCAGGTGCCAATCTTTAAAAAGAAAAAAAAAGAATATTTGGTCTTGATTTTAAGAGAGCATATTGGGGTACCACAACTGCAAAATTCATTAATTCATCCATCCAATATTTATAGGTCAGGCACTGTTTTCCGGGGACACATTACTGATAAATGAAGATTAGAGTCTTCTGAAAATAGTCATTTTTACCACTGATGTGGATTTGAGCAGAAATGGCTTTACAACTTTGGGGGTCACAGTGTTGCTCTGTGCATTATAGTTACTGACCCCTCCCTGCCCCACATCAAATGAGCACACACTTGTGTACAAGGGAACTCTGTGAAAATGATCAGTGCTCAAGAGTCACAAGACTGTGGCTTCTTGAGAGGAGTTTCAAAATTGGGCTGGAGTCTAATGACCCTCATTTGCAGTTTCTGCAAGTCATACCTGGATTTTTCTACTTATGCTCCCGATGCTCATTGTTTTTGTCCGCGTACTTAAACCATCAAACAGGAGGAAATCAGATTTAAATAACAGCTTGGAAATCATAAAGAAACAGAGGGATGGAAAGTGGTTGGCAGGCAAACACAAATATCAACAGAGCCAGAGCAAAGACCTCAAGCTAGCCTAGATTCAAACATGAAAAGCTCTTACTAGGCAGTTAAAGGCACTTCTAAGAAGGCACAATTGACCACCTCAAGAGAGAAAGTGATTGTGAGGGGGACGTAACGACAAACCTCATACCCACTGGATAGGAGATACTCCTAGGAGGCAGTGCTAAGGCCCAGTGCAGCAATCAAATAGACTGCCCGAATACTGTTGGGCCATGTCACAGGAGCAGGGAAGAAAGAGACTGCTCACAGAGCGGTGAAAAGTCAACGGCAACTTGGTGAAGGATGACTTTGTTCTGGGATTCACTTCTGCACGTGTTATGTGATGCCCTAAATTCTTCTTTCCTTTTTTAAAAATCATTTTTATAGACCCACAGGTGAGACTAAATTTATCTTTTTCCTCCTACTCCTGAACAAGAGGTCTGGAAATCTGTATGCTGGAACTGATTAATTTTCCATGGTGACATTTCAGCATGTCAGTCTAATGCCACCTAGATAGAGCTGAGGTAACCTTTAGTCTTTGGGACCCTTATTAACCAGATAGAGTCCCGAAGACAATATAGTCTTCTTTTTTTCTCACTAGCTTTCTCATCCAGCATTCCCATCCCCTGTTTTAATGGAGGTTCCTTTGACGGCCTTGAAAATCAAAGTACCACAAACAGAAAAGCGTTTCCCCTCCAAACTCCTCAATGAATTAAATTGATAGGAAGCATCTGAGCCCATTGTTGGAAAGAAGGAAATAAAGAGCAGGTATGAATTTGACCAATGGAGACAAGATGGTACTTTCACAGCTTTCTTTGCTCTCTGTCACGTTCCTGCCACCCGCCCCACAAGTGTGTAGATGTGAGCTCACAGAATGTTTACCAACTTTGTTTTGGGGAAGTTGGGTCCCTCTTTCAAAATAACAAAATGAACAAATGTTCATCCTCTGAACAAAATGTCCACGTGGTCAGGGGCTCATAGAACTTTCTGTCACAAGCAAGAGCAGAGGGAAGATTGGTATGATTCCAGTGTCTCTGCTTCTGTCTCAGGGAAGGGTGGCCTTTCTGGCCACCAATAGATTGCTATGGATGAAATAAGTAGATATCAGAGAAGGAGGGAAGCCGGAGCCAAGACCCAAAGCTTTACTAGTTTCAAATATAAAAATCTCTGACAGGGCAGTGAAATGCATTTCTGCCTCCCCTCTGTAATATGCAGAAAAGTTGCAAGGGCAGAGCCAGAGGAGATAAAACAAAAGATTATGGTTTAAAATGGCATATTAATGTATTGGCCTTATTAACTAATTAGGCTAGATTTTCTTTTAGACTGCATTTGCAAATTCCTCTTGGTATTTAATGTTATTTTCTGTGAAATGAAGTATACAATATCATTTAAGAACTTCAAGTATTACTAATTTAAATATTTATTAGTCTAATTTATTGGTGTTTAAACTGCTGGTCTGAACATTATCCTAATTAAATAGAGGATAAATTTTCAGCAACAGAATTCTTTTGTTCCCAAGGGGAGAGCAGACCAGCTCTGATATATTTTAAAATGGAAATAAACACGTTTCCATAAGTTCTTCTACGGCCGCTCTACCCAGGTTGAAAGTTTTTCCTCTTATCTGCCCCTGATCTGTACCCTTACGGAAAGGTTTTTTTAGGCAATTTAAAGGGGAAGCAGACACATTGTAAAAGCTATTTTTCTCTAATCTCTCTTGACAGTGAGTTTTACTTGCTAACTCCCACACGTTTCCCCCTCATGTTATGCCTAGAGGATATAGCAACACTTTTTGTTGCTTCCAATAATACCTTGTTCTCTGTGCACTCAGATTCACCCTGCCTCCAAATCTGATATTCTCTGGATTTTTATTTTCTGAAACTCAAATTTCTGCTGGTTAAAGATGCCTAAACACCAACAGTAGTGGTTTAGATGAAGGAGACACTAGCCAAGGGATTATTTTGATGTTCTGATTTGGCTTTGCTTTTAATACTTCAGAAAACCCCTGGGCATACATCAGTTTGATTCTGGTCTGTACACCGATTCACAAAGATTTTAATTTTAATTTAAAAATATTTCTTAAAAGTCCTAACTGCTCCTTTACAAGTTGGTTTGGTGGGGCTCAGCCAGGGTGTCTGCAGCCATTAAGCTGAACTGAGGCCCTGTTGCTAATATTCAAGAGAATCTCACAAACATCAGGTTTTATGTCAGCTCCCAGCTTAGTTACTACATCCAAGCAGTCAGGAGGTGTTTCCCTCTAAAGCCATATTTTAGGAATCAGACAGAGCTATTAACTTTACGGAAAAAAGGAAACAGAAAAACTGGTGATGATTTTATTAAGCCACTAAAACACTAATTTGGTTTAGCCCAGATGAAACATAAAAAGGCACAATTTGATCCCTGTTTAAGCCATTTGCTTTTGTTAAACTAAAGTTATTCCAGAAGGTCACATCAACTCCAATAGACATAAATCAGGCACTCTGGGCACTCATAGGAGTTGTTTTCAGTTTAGAGTAACTGGACTTGCTCTGCACTTTCTGACAAGCGTCTGTGGGAGATAGATGCATACAAAACTTCTATAGACTGTTAACCACTGTTTACAATGTTCAGCTTCTGACTTTTTTACATAATTCTAAACCAGGGTTTTGGAGCTCTGTGCAGGAGTAGATATCACAAAAGTATTTTAAGAACAAAAGCCAAAATTCCCATACCTCTTACAATCAGGTCTGCGGCAGCAGACAGCTTGTCTACAGTTGTTTGGACCATGCAGACGTATTTCCCAGCATGCTTCAGCTGGATGTTTCGGATCATCAAATCACCAGCTGAATCCTGCTGATAAAGTAGGGGAAAGTGGCTACAATTACTTTTTAATGAGCTCTAAATATCATTATCGCATGAAGGACACTGTGACTAATGGATTTATTTTACACTGGCTGATGAAAACATTAATGATGCAAGCCATGGCCTATTAAAAATATGTGAACCTGCCTGAGATAACAGCACCAACATTTTCAGAACACACCTTGGACAAGACCTCAGATGTCTGGCTGCTCTGGGTTTCTGGAGGAGTTCGCCCCTTGAAAGCACTTAAAATTATGTAAGGTGGCTCTTGATCTAGTCCTGTGGGTTTCTTGAGACATGCCCTCAGCTTATAGCCTTCACTGAAGTTCCACGGCTTTGGAACTTTACATTTGGAAAGGGGAGGAAAGCCCACAATTGGCAGAATCTGCATTTTACTGCACAACCCTGTCTTAGAGCCAGCATTTTGATTGTTCCCAGGTTTGAATTAAAGGATTATGAGGACCAGACTCTTCAAGAAAATCTTGCATCACCTAATGTAGAATGGTGCTAGCTTTCCAAATGCCAGATGCATGTTTGATTAACAGATGAATAGAACTAATTACATCCTGGTATGAATGTCTACGTGCCCTAGAAATATTTCTACAATGTTGACCAGCACAGTACTTTTAATAAATATAAGGAAATGCCTCCGCAGGCTATCACAAAGGTGGCATTTTAACTGAAGAACATGCTACACCTTGGAGTTTGGTGTCATAGCTCTGTTAATCAAAAGCTGGAAGAATAGCTGCTTAAGCAAGAGAAAACCCTAGGGGTCAGATTCAGGAAGCTCTGCTTATTTCTAAACCCTCAGTGGATGACAAGATAACATAGGTTATTTTGGCCTTGTTGCTATTCTTCCAAATGACCATAATATTGGATAATGCTTAATGGTATTTACTATATGGCAGGCGTATATTAAAGCACTTCCTAGTACTTATATTAACGTAATAAATACTCACATGTCCTATGAGTATTTAGTCCTTTTATCCTTACTTTACAGATGAGGAAACTCAAGCACAAAGAGCTTATATGACTTACCTAAAGTCACTTAGTGAGAGGCAGAGCCAGGATGTGAAGCTACATGGTCAGGCTCCAGTCCCTATTCTTTACTATAATGCTGCACTACCAACCGGAAAGACTTTATTCTCATTCTAAATTCACGTGTACTTGGTTTCCTTCTTTTGTTTCAGTACAACACATCACAGTACAATGGAAGACATGGAACTACCAATGGTTGTAAAAGGATGAGAAGAGAGGCAAAAGCATATAGTGACGGGAGAACTGAAGGTTCAGGACTTAGTTGTCTTGGGTTGATCCCTGCTGTGTGACTTCATGTAAGTCTCTTAATCTCTCTGAGCCTTAGTTTATTGGCCTGTGAAAGAAAGATACATTGCCTACTGTGCTAGGTTGTGAGAATCAAATGAGATTGTATGCGTACGTGAAGTCCTTCTGAAAACTGTGAAGCAAAGAGTAAATTTAAACTGGTATGATTGATGACCTGGATCAATTTTCTTCGTGAAGCAATTACGTCAAAGATGTTAAATCTAATTTAAGATGAGCTGTGATTTTTTTTAACTGAAAGTTCTTTTACTTATAACACTTGGGTTCTCATCTAGATTCTACAATTTACTAATCAAGCCTTATAATTGCTCAGTAAAATTGGATAATAATTGCTAACCTATTTCACAGGGTTTCTGTGAGGATTAATGAGCTGATATATACGAAAGTGCTTGATAAATGATTAGGCACGTTGCAAATATAAGGAATCATCATCGTCATTATCATTATTATTATTAATACTTCCTTACCTAAGACATTGCACCTGTTAGGACTTTGAGTAAAGGTTTAAATATGCCTCACAAGGGGGCGTGTGCAGGGAAGGTGGGAAGCCATACTGGTTTTAAGGAAATGCCTACAGTTTCCCAACAATTCATTTTATTCACCCAAGGGCTTGAATGTCGGAGAAACTTCTGGTAGCCTGTAGATTTCAGAACACAGCAACCTATTAAGAGAATTTTTTGACTGTGTGATTTAGAGTGTGCTCTCTTTATTTACAAATTTTGACCAAATTAGTGTTTTTACAGTAAAACTGAAAGAAAAAATAAAGTCAGAATTAAGGTAAGAGTCTCACGGAAGGAGACCACATGACTTTCTCTTTCTCTATGGAGTTGTCCAGACCAAACTATTAACTGAGACTTAGGTTTATGTTCCTGTCAAAGAGAACAAAGCAGAAATACCTTCTTTTCCCCCACTGTGGTCTGTTCTGTTCCTGACAGAGCATGCGGATGCTATCAGAGGACAGTGAAATAATAACTTTTCAAAAAACTACAATTGGCTGGCTCTGCCAGCATCATTTCCACCATGCTGGCCCAGGAAGTAGAAACTGCAAAATGGGTTTGACTTCAGAATTGCTTCCTTATCTCTTCTATTGTCTGGTCCAAATGTACAGACATTAATGATCCTAGTAGCCGATACACATCGCTCTCACAATTTGTAGTGCTGTCCTGAATTTTGCACTTATTTCTTAGCAGTAGTTGATTAGGGTTAGCACTAGTTTCACAGAGAAAAACAGTTCCCATGTGAAAGACTAACAAGGGTGATTCTACAGATAGAGGTCTCTACAAAGGGTGGTCGTTAGTGCTTTACTTCATTAAGAGTGTCTCCACCTGGGCCTCAGCCCTGGCTGATATGCAGCCAGTCCAGCATAAAGGTCACACCTGTCTGACGGGCAGAGCATCCATTTTGATCAGTCAGGCACCTGTTCTGATTGGTTGGTGCCCACGTCATTCTGGGAGATAATATTTTTTATATCTCTCCTGCCTGAGACGTTGGTTTTAGTATGAAAACAAATATTCTGCTTAATTTATGAAGGTTTTCTCAATTTATGCTTTCCTGTTATTAGAATCAATGTTACCCATCCTTCCATTAATACAACCATTAAAGTTTATTGAGTATTTCTTTTCTGGTAGGCATTGGGCTATGCACTTTTTTACACCTGAAGGTATTTAATATCCTCAGTGTCCTTGTGAAGTAGTTAATATCTCTTTCACTTGGTCAAGGTTATCAGGCTGAACCATATTCAAGAGGTCCAGAATGGTCAGTATTGGCAATTTAATTGAGCCTTTCTCAACTAAGGTTCTAAGAGAGAATTACTAATGACTTGAGGCATCCATTGACGTAATGAATTAACTTCTCTCCTATGTATCTAAAATGGTACCAGTCATATATAATCCTTGGGAGAAAATGGTTACTCACATCATTTTTGGTGTTCTGTGATTCAATTGAGAAACACTGAGAAAGGAAGCAAGAATGTAAGTAACAGGACTAGTACTATATTTGAGTGGAAAATAGGCCCTCAATATATCATGTGGATAGCTTTTTAAGCTTTAGTCCATTTATTCTCAACATAGGGGTGGAGGTAAGATGAGGAGGGTAATGAGATTCCTATAGCAGCAATGGGGATGGGGAGGGCTTTTCAAGTCACAGCCCATTTTTATATCGTGCTGTCTTTTGGTTGGACCCATCCATGAGAATGGCAGCCAGAAGGAATCTTTATTACTAATGGGAATGGCAGGCTGTGTTAGGGCAGAAAAAATTTTTGGAGAATGATTGTGATAGACCCAAATTGTTTCCAGATTTGACCTGTTCTTGGTGTGAATTCAATGATAATACGTATTTTTATGGAAAGTAAGGCATTTTGACAATTCAACCATTAGAATTCAAATTACCTGGAGATAATAAATTATCTGATCAGACTTTCAGATTCAAGAAAGAGAACACTATCATTACAATGGTAAGTCTTCTAGAAGAGCCAAAGAGAGTTTAGTCAGTAGCCTAGAAACACAAGAGTAAACTATCCTTCAGCTATTTTCTTTCTTTCTTTTTATTATTTTTGTTGTTGTGGTCATATTGGTTTATAACATTGTGTAATTTCAGGTGTACCTTATTATAGATCAGTTTCTGTAAAGACTGCACTGTGCTCACCACCAATAGTCTAGTTTTTATCCGTCACCATACATATGTGCCTCTTTACCCCTTTTGCCCACCCCTTCACCCCTTCACCCCTTCACCCTCTGGTAACCACTAATCCGTTCTCTTTATCCATGTGTTTGTTTATCTTCCACATATGAGTGAAATCATGCAGTGTTTGTCTTTCTCTGTCTGGCTTACAGGGCATAGAGTTTGGGATTTGAAGTTTAAAGCTGAGTTCTGCAATTTTAGTCGCTATGAGGCCAAGGCAAGCCATACAACTCTCCGGAGCCTCGGTTTCCTCATCCATACACAGTAATGTATGACTAGCCTGGAGGATTGCTGTGAGGATTAAGAGAAGACCTGCCATATAGGGTTGCTCACACAGGGTGCGGCATTTATACGCAAAAAGGAGAAGGAATGCACCAAGAGTTTCTTGAAATAAGGTTCTTGAAGAAAATCATCAAAGAATAACTTTATATTTCTTTTCAAGTTAGTCTAAATAAGTTGAATCTGTTTTGAGAAGTTCAGCTGCACACTGCGTTTCCTGTGGATAGTTTGATATTAATACTTACCCCTCCAACTCTTTCAAAGTGGTCCCCATCTTTGTCGAAGTCTATCAGGTGTCCATTAAATGACCAAGTGAACACAATGTCTAGCGAGTGATCATGTGTTACCTGGCATGGCAGAACAATACTTTCTCCAACAGTGACATCCATGCTGGAAGGGGGCACCATTACCCTTGTCGGATCTGGAGAATGAAACAAAATAAACAACAAAGACAGTGAGCTTGTGCAGAAATAAAATGTAGAATCGAAGAGCAGGAAATACTGAGTAGTTTTGCTTTCTTTTTTTCTTAGGCTGTGACCAGCAAACCTCAGTCATCTGGGAAGCTCCGATTCAGGCTAGGAGGTCATTTTTAATATGAAAAGATGAAAACACTCATTATGTGAAACTTCCACAGAGCAACAGAACTCAGCTGGGGAGCACTGAGGTCAGATCTCTGAAGACACTCACGGAAGGCTTCCTTCTGGCAGCCTGCTCAGAAATTGCCTCTTTAAAGAGGTTTTCCTATCTCCCCAGTTTCACTAGAAAGCAATATTTCAGCTGAGTGCAAACAGGAAAATTCATGTTAATTTGAAGTTTGTTGGGCTTTCTTTTTCCTATTATAAAAGTGAAAAATGTTTAGTATGGGAAATTTAGAAATTTCAGTAAAGTTAAAAGAAGGTACCAAAAAAAACCCCCAAAACGAAATCTTACTTACTCTCTTACTGTCCAGCAAAAGTCTTTATTTTCATTTTGGTATAATCTCCCCTAGTCTTTTTGTTTCGTAGTTTTTCAGTTGTTTTGTTTTGCATCATTGTAAACATGCTACACATATGATTTTTCTGTCTTTTTTTCTCTACTTAATATAATATTGGGTATGTTTATATCTTTATCCACATATTTTTATAATCTGCATAATGTGCTATTGTTTGCAGTTTTAACAATTTTGAAACTGGCAGACAATTTAGCAAAATTTATTGTAAATATAATTATTAGTAATACTTAATGAACATCATTGACAAAATGATATACATACATTACTTTAAAATAAGGACTAATTCATTTTAATTAATTAATTAATTTATTTATTTAAGGAAGATTGGCCCTGAGCTAACATCTGCTGCCAATCCTCCTCTTTTTGCTGAGGAAGACTGGTCCTGAGCTAATATCCATGCCTATCTTCCTCTGTTTTATGTGGGACGCCTGCCACAGCATGGCTTGACAAGCGGTGCATAGGTCTGCACCCAGCATCCGAACTGGAGAACCCTGGGCCACCAAAGCAGAACAGAATGTGTGAACTTAACTGCTGCGCCACTGGGCTGGCCTCCCAATTCATTTTTAAATTCACCCTTTACATTATAGTTTTAATTGGAAATGGAATGGGCTTGTTTAGCTGAGACAGCTTATAAACTCCAAAACTACTTTCACACACAAGGAGTCTCTTATTTTTCACTGCAACATGATTTCCTAAATGGTGTTATAGAGTTCAATGGTGAAAAGCAATTTGAGCTAAAAATAAAGGTCACATAAGTGCCTAAAGAATGAAATTCTGAATTCAGCCATATTCCAGAAATTTCTCTATACTAAACCAAACCATAACAAAGAAGACTAATCAAAAGCAAACAAAACAATAAAAGAACATAGATTAATTCCCTTCCATATTCACAGGATTCTGTTTCAGGCTGTGGGGTATATAAATATTTATTGAGTGAACCTCTTAGACTAAAATCTCACCTGGGAACTTTGAAACTATATCTTATAGGAGTCTTTTGATGGGTCTTACTTTCCAATAAACCACACTAAAATTTCCTCTTTGAAGAGAGTATTTAAAACAGTTTTTCTACGCTTTTATCCAACAATGGAAAGCGAATATCTCAGGTCATTAGAAAAGAAAAGTCTGTGTCCATAAATAGATTCCAGTCCAGTGGTGGGATGTGCTTTTGCTGTTTTCTGAAAATAGGATAAGATGATCAGTGGACTGATATGCTTTCAGTCTCTGTTGAATGAGTGATGCCCACGAAATGAGGAGTGGAAAACAGGTACTGCCAGCTAAGAAGTTATGAGAGGGGAAAGCTTTCAGTTTAAAACCTGAGGTTTTTGCAAATCACATAATCAAAAACCTGCTCTATTGATTCACTGACCTGCAGGAATAGATACAGATTAAGATTTTTTTAAATGAGGGAAGGAGTTGAGAGCAAATTACCTTAGAATAACTCTAAGCAAAAATCTAGGAATAGCTCCATTTTGACTTAGTGTGTCATTTATCATTTTTGATTTTAAATTTTCCTCATCTATAAAATGAAGACTGGAAAGTATAATTCCTGGCTAAAATTATATGTGTGTATGGCTTTCATTGGCAAGATGTCGCTTAATTCTACTTTAAACAGCTGTCCACTTATTTTGCAATTTATATTTTCATTTTAATGCACCTTCATTCATTTGTCGATTTATGCACCAAGCATGCATTGTGTGTTTCGTGGATAACATTGTCCTGGTACCAAGAGAGATACAAAGGAGACTGAAGGATAATAACATTTGTAATAACTAACTGAGCCCCTTAGGTTCTAGACACCGTGTTAAGCTCTGTACGTGGATTACTTCATTTATTCTTAACAAATAAGTGCTATTATTGTCCCTGCTTAACAGATGAGGGAAACTGATGCCTACGAGTGGTTAAGGAACCATCTATTGTACTATACTATAGCTCCTCCCTTCATTTAGCCGATAACATAATATCCATTCACAAATCATCCAAAGAACAAGTCTAAGGGCATAATACAGCAATTTGCACTCTTGATTATCTGTAATCAACTGAAGATATTTAAATGCAGAAGGAATTCAAAGGCGGCCATGGGGTGAAGCTAGTTTCAGAGGCCTTCACCGCAAGAGTAATGAAGTTACTGCCTTAGACTAGTAAAAGGCAGCGATGATTTTATGCCTAAAATGCTGGCTCTAGCTCTAAGCTCACACATCAGACTTATGAGTGTAGAGTCAAATGTCCAGTCTCAAGTCCTTAAACATGTCTTGGCTCCCTATCTCCTGACAGCTTCTGGGTGAGCAACAAGGACTTGGCACATACCCCAAAGCCTACAGTCATTTGCCATTCCAGCTCACATTTTTAACTGACATTTGTTTCATAAAGAAATGTTCATCTCTTTATGCACATGTAGGGATCTGGGACAGATTTTATTATTGGTGAACTCAGCTGCCTGTTAACCAAGGACCAGAGAAATTCTCTAAATCAAGGATTATGCTGGTATGGTTGCTGTGCTGACAGCTGCTAATTCATTAATTTAGCACTTGTCACCGATTCATGTTCTGAGCCCAGAGGTAGCAAGAATCAATGCAAAGCAAGTCATGCACTGTACACACACCAGAGAAGTCTCCTTGGGACTAGAGAAGATTAAACTAAAGAGGTTCAAAACCTCATTAGCTAGTTGGTTTTCTCAAATTGTATGCTTCTTCAGTACTCCTTTCTGTGTTGTGAATTCTCATGCTTTTTTCTTGATTAATTTCCTTAAATTTGAATACAAACTCTGTATGCAAATAAACAGATGGCTTCTTCAAAACAAAACTGTCTCCCCTCCTTTGGTCTTAATTCATCAAGATCAGGAAGAACCTATATTTACGACTTCTGTTCTGAAGAGTCACTCCAGCTATTGTTCTGTGCATACAACTCTCAAAGGCAATTAGAACTCAAGTTGTAGAATTGATGTCTGGATTTGGATGTAATTAAATAGCAACAATAAATAGGGCCAACAACACCCCTAACTTTCCTGCTTGTGGTTGGTTCATCCTGTGGAGAATGATAAATTCAGAACTACAGAGAACTGATGCTTAAAACATATATATTTACCAAGTGCTTAACCCATCTAGAGTAAAAACAAATATTCTTTTAGGTTCTATAGTGTTTTCTATAATATATAAAGGACAGAAGGTACACTAAGTGCTTTGTTCTAAATATCATGCCAACGATGAGAGAGAGCATTAATTATTAACCACTCTGTTAATGATTAGGCCAACAATTAGATGCATAAATTATACCACATCATCCAAGTCATATTATATTCTGACTTTCAGTGTTGGTGGAAAGGCTTCATTTAGAACTTTTATTATCTGCAAAAACAAGTGCCTGTGGGTTCGTAGGATAAGAATTCCATTTTAATGTTGCTTTCCCTATACCATATCAACCCTTCCATTTCAGTTTATAATTTCTTTACTTTTCACTCACAGTGCCGAGATATTCACATAGTGCCTATCAGGAAAGTACTTAATGTGTGTTTTAATCATCTTCATTCAAGGAAGGGACATGTCCTCTTTTGTTCGCAAATTTCTTACTGTAATGGTCTTCATGATGCCTTTCAGTCAGGTTGTGTCTTCTTTTTTATATTAATTTTTATAGAGAGAATTTTAAAAATGGGATTCTTCAAAGACCTGGAGCTAGTCAAAGAGCTGACATTCAGGTCACCTCAAATGACACAAGAGGGACCGGACAGAGAACTATTTTCAATAATTAAATGCCACAATAAGGACCTTTTATTAATGATCACAATAAACCTGGAGGTAGCATCTCTAGAGATGAATTTCAGCACTCCCTAGTTGGTCCCATTTTTCAATAAAAATAAAACCAGTGTCAGATGAACTATATTTATCAATTCTGCATAAAATACACATCTAAAAGGAACATTAGATCTAAACATTAGATGAGAATCAAGATTCACAGTAATTTCAAGCTAGACCAATTCTTTCATTTAGGATGAAATTTAATAGGCATAAAGGGAAAAAGCTATACTTAAAAAAATCAGCTGTATAGGTACAGGCTGTGGGAAGACTGGATTGGCAGTTCACGTGGAAAAGATTTGAGTATTTCTGTGTCAACAGGGTCCTTATAGCTGCCAAAGAAAGCTAATAGAATCTTAGGTTGCATTAATAGCATGTAGTATTCCATTCTAGAGAGGGAATAATCTCGTATGTTGCATTAATGAGACCACAGCTCACTAGGAACATCCTTTGGATTCATTGACAGATCACTGTACCTAGGTTACTGAAGGATCTAATAAACATATAATAGCTAAAATAACTGAAAATATTTGGCACAAGAAAGAAAAATTAGAGGAGAAATGATAACGGTCTTTAAATATGTGAAGGGTTTATAGGCAGAAGATGAATTAAGCTTATTTTGTGTTGCCCCAAAGGAGAAATCAA